TGCTGAATGGCATCATGTAATTATTCAAATGGCTATTAACTTAATCACATTTAGAATTTGATTAATGGGCAGTGCAAACGAGAAATATCTTGACAACTGCCTGCTCAATTTCGTGTCATACAAGCATTTCATAAAACTTATCGTAAATGGGACACGAAAACAAGATGACTGTTTGCTTGTTCCAATCGACATCGAGATCATATTATCAGTTCGTTGTGATTTTATGTTGGAAATTATAATCAGATCACTGAGTTTTGATAGAAATGCAATCAGAATGCTCATGAACGTATGTGAATGTTTGTAGCGATCCACTTACGAGTGGTTCAAAAACAACGCCCAATCCGCACGCCGAGAAATTCGGTAGCAGCTGTGAGCATTATCGGAAACACAAATTATCGGAAATGGGTGCTTAAAGGCAAAGAAGAATGGAAATAACATTTAGAATAATTGTTGTACACGGTGACTGGAGGTAGCTGGTGATTAATTTGAACAGGAATGAAATGGCAACAAAACGAATAAATTGTGAACACACCGAATTGCACTGATAATGAGGCAATAAATCGGCGAAACGATCAAATAAACGAATCGACTAAATAAATGCATAAATAATTCTCCCAAGATTATTATCGTTTATTCAATTTTCATTTGAATTTATTTGCTACCAGTTCAAAAACACACACACACACACACGTATATGCACACACCCACAGATACACGACGACACATGAAGAAAACTCCAACGAACCATCATCTCTTTCCTCATACAATTAATGCTCATCAATTTGAATGTGCTCAAGTCGATGAGGAGTAGTGATTTTTTACATCATCTTTCTTTGTTTCAGTAATTCGTTGCACTTCATCGAGTGCAATCAACCATTATTTCACATTTCACGCAGAATACGCACTGAATACAAATGAATTATAATACAGAGCTTTTGCAGCAGCAGCAGCACATTCAATTCGTCGTCGATTCCATTCGAGTTTCATTACTCATCATCGTCATTGAGCTTTTTTCGTTGTGCAGTGAGCAAACGACGACATCGTAATTAATAGTTATCACTGTGATCACTTATGAATCACTCTTATAAATTTAATTAGAAACATTGTAGGAATGGTGGTGGCACTGATTCATACGTTGACTGTAACTCAAAAAATATTGCCAATGTCAAAGATCTTTGCACTGTGGTTCAAGTGGTGGTAATCCGCCGCAGTCAAATAGCTGAAGAAGATTCGATAGTATGGCAGGCACGGTTCATGAATGCACCCTTAGTGGTCGTCTCCTTTGATGGCAGTTGATAGATGAAGAAAGGATTACATAGTTCTAGCCATGCAAAGTGATCGCATTTGATCACTTTGCATGGCTAGAGTTATTAATTAAAGGATTACATAATTATTAAAGGATTACATCATTCTAGCCAATGCATAAAAGCCGTGCTACATGGGGCAGTGCATAATTCTTTTAGTCTGGAATACGCATGTCAGGAAACATATCAATTTTGCTTAAACTACAAAACAAATGAGTTAATTTCGAGCAATTTTCAATTATTCCAATGGAAAGCAGCACAAGCACATCTCAGAACGATCAGACTGTGTTTTTCCAACAACCTCAACTATTAGTTATCTCGCGAATCAGGAGAAGCATTTAAGATTTCACATTTGAATTGAATTTTCGTGAACATCAGTGATCTCTCGGCGTTTTTTCAATTATATTTGAGTGGTTCAGAAACAACATCTCTGATAGCCCCGACGGGAGCTGCTGATACGAGGAAAAATCGTCAGTTCTAAGAGCGTAAATCGACAAATCTCAGTCGTCGCTTCGTCGACGACCGTAAATCAAAGTATTATGGAAGGATGGATCTGCGCTAGCTGAGTGCAATGGTGCCTGTTTGTTGGTTGCTTAGGATAGAAGATACATCTGGGAAGATTTATATTTGAATATCTCAATCATATATATCTTCGACAACTGTGCCTCTATGTATATGTTCAAAACTCATAAATCTCATCGCACTTCACAACAACGCAACTAAACTCCATCTAAAACTAGAACTATTGACCAGTTTATGCTGATGATTATTCGTGTTTGTATCCTTTAATTTATTTCATTCATTCGTAGCACTTTCATTTCAGTTGAACTCCTCAAATCCGCTCTTAGCAGCAATTTGTACGTTTTTGCTTTGCACACATACGACGAGTGTATCCTTAAAGATTCATTCATTTTTTACACTCTCTTTTGTCAACTTTATTGTCTCCGTAGTTACCGTAGTTTACATCTGCTCGGCGTATTGCATGCATGCTCATGGCTCGCGAACCTGCTGATGAAACTTCGAACATCGAAATTTCTAGCAGTAAGTGGTTGTTAGCCCAGCGCTTGAAACGAAAAAAAATGCTGATTAGATCTGAAGCAGAGCAATAGGGCTGTGCTTCTAGAGGAATGCTACGTTTGATCATCAAATGCGCATTATGCCAGAGTGCAGCGAATTACTCTTGTATGATATGTTTTCGGGAATTTCTGAACTGTTCGATGTGTATTTCATAGACGGAAGTCAAGCAATATGAATTTTTCATTGCTGGAAATAGATGGAGCATGTGATTCCAATTTTATCAGTGAATTCCAACTGTCGAAATAATTTTCATAACTGATCTTCTGGTCTACTTTCTCACTCACCTCACAAGTTTGATGATACTCTTTTGTAGTGAATATGTGAATGCAGTGGTGGAAATGTGTCATTTGACCAAATTCTCAAACTGCTAATTGAAATCGTTGTTTGAACGTCGTATTCCAGCGACTTACCGTGTTATATTGAAGCGTTAATGTAGTGAATGGATCAGGCTTGTTCAGTAAGCAAACCGTTCATTGATATCCTCATGACTATGTGTACGTAAGGGATGTGGTTGGACCATTAATAATTAACAATCTCATCGAATTTTTGTAATTCATCACTGAAGCTCTGTTGGTTCTAGGATTGCATGAGCAAGTAGCATTTGACTTCGGTGAAATAAACACATCATAAAGTGACATTCATTACTAATTAAATTCAGCATAGTTACACAGTTTACCGAGTATTCG